TATCTGAGAAGTATTCCAGTTTTTCGCGGGGAATACAAGCAGGTGGACGACCTTTCCCACGAGCGGTAGCCATATTGTTTCTGTTTAAAAATGAATCGATTACAAAAAAAACTTAGATCTGAATGGAATACAGTCTTTACAATTAGCGGTTCAAACTAACTATCGCAGGCGCGGATCCAGAGGGGGGGGGGGGGGACCCCCCCTCCCAGCTCTGTCCAAATTGTTGTTTTTTCTTCATACTAATTCATAACAAATAAGTTGAAACTCCCCCCCCCCCTCCCGCTGTGACACACACAAAAAAATATACTGGTATGTCTGCCTGTTTAAAATACAGTGCACCAATCTGTAATCTAGTGTTAAAAATCGTCGAATATGAACAGCGCCCCTATTTAAATATGGTCCCCCCCCCCATTCTTTTTTGATTTTACGGAGGGCAAGTCACGGTCCGGAGAAAAAAAAACCCTGTGTACATTTTCAGATGTTTTTGCCGATGAACCCCCCCCCCCGCGAAAATTCCTGGATCGGCCCCTGTAACGGTACACAATTATATAATGTAAATGTTGGTGAGTAAAGTTCACACGTACAGGTAGGCCTAATTGTCTTCAAAATGATCGATCAGTAGTTAATTCATTCTATGTGGAGTATAATATAGTTAGGCCTAATCTGTTCGTTCGGTCAATCTTTGACTCGGTTGATCGGTGAGGTAATTACCATTTAACGGGTACATGTTCCGTTAAACTGTGCTGAAACAACATCGACTGGATACGTATGGAAAAATCTTCATAAGGCCAAAAAAATAAATCTCCGGTTTGTGGTATGGAGCTTGCCCAAAACTTGGTGCGGCGACGCGGCTTTTTTTAAACACGTTTTTTGGGTTTTTTTTTTTTGCTGAAAATTTCGGCTGATGACTGCAAAATAGAGCCCGACTAAACTTCGTGCAAATATATGTGAGTCCAGAGAGGCAACATAAAGCTTATTCTCGTTCATAACCCCATCTAAAAACACGTTAATATTGTGCAGCAGCAGGATTCCAGTCAGACCACTGAGTTTGGCGGTTTTGAGACATCATCTTTCATTGACAAAAAAACCCAACTTTTTCATTTTGCCGACGCGCATGGCTACGGCGACGTGCGCGCATACCAGAAACCGGAGACTTTTTGTTGGCCTAATGCACAACATATTGAATAATATATCGAGATTTGACTCACCTTCACAAAGTCGCAAAGTGGATGGGCGTGAAGACTTCGTTAACACAATCAAAACGTGCGTGAGACTAATGTGACAGCCACGACTCTGTGAATACGATCCCGACTTCAAGTTGACGCCCTATATATAGTCCACTCATACACGGTGTGATGATAAATATGAATATTCAAATGATCACCCTGCAGCCGTCCACCATTCCACTGACATTAAATATGCAAACATCTCAGTGGCAGTGAACTGTGACTATGCTGGTTGAAATGTTTTTTTTTTTATATTATCAAAGTAAGTGGGTGACAATATCCCAGCCAACCCCCCCCCTCCCCCCCCCCCCCCCCCCCCCCCCCCACTTTCTTCAGACTTAAATATGCTGTGATTTCTGGGCGACGGAGGCTGCCGGCGTCATGGGCAGACTAAGCTTTGTTAAGGTTGTCGGTACATAGGTAACTGTTGCGGTTGTACTCCTATCGGAAAATGTTAGTGTGTTTTTATTTATACATTATTCAATATTTTCCTTTGATAACTCCGATGTTTAAGTACCCAAAATGAGTTTGAAAAGACTGTGCACACCTGTGAATCATTTAACCAATTGTGCACTATACATAATCGACAAGGCCACTTAAGACAAGCTCGAAAAGATCTCGGAAGTTGAGGCTCGATAGTAGACCGTTGCCTATACATCATGTACATGATGTAAAGGTATGTTCTTAAAATTGGAAAGGATCCCATTATTTTGCTGAACGTCATTTGGTGCATGGAACGTGTTTGCATGTGGAACACCCAATTTGTGAGCCCCCTTGTGAAAATGATTGACCTCGATCGTGCCCCAATTCCAAAAAAAATGGTAGCTGGTAAGTGGAGACCTGGAGCACGTGTTGTTGCGAGGGCTAAAGGACAAGTGATTGATTGCCAAAGAAGACATGGCTGACACAAACCATAGAGCTAGCTCTATTTCCCACAGTGGTCTTAGAAATAGATTGAGTACCATGCTGCATTACAAAAATGTACACATCGAATCATTGCTCTTTGGAAATACAATAATAATATTTTCTAATCTTAAAAATGATTAATCTCAATTTAACTCTTATAAAAAAACACACCATGGTTCGAAAATTACATCGGTTACGTGGAAGTAAAATTTATCAGATTTTCGCGAAAGGTATAAAAAGAAAACAGAAGAGCAAAATAAAGGCTCTGCGCATTTGCAATTAAATTGCTCCAGAGCAAGGAACATAGATAAGTATATCGTGCAAATGATTACGACGCAACACACAGATGCGACAGTCGCGAAAGTCCCCCACCGTTTCGGTGATCACATTAAATGCCTCTTTGGCGTTCCTGTTTCGCCAAAAAGCGGCATTTAATCGGTGATGGACTTTCACGATCGGTGATCAAAGCTGCCATGTCCAGTCGTTGAGTAAAAGTCCATCACCGATTGCGAAAGTCCATCACCGAACGTGAATATGCATCACCAGTAAAAGTCCATCACCGATCGCTAAAGTCCATCACCGATCGTGAATATGCATCACCAGTTAAAGTCCATCACCGATCGCGAAAGTCCATCACCGATCGTGAATATGCATCACCAGTGAAAGTCCATCACCGATTGCGAAAGTCCATCACCGATCGTGAATATGCATCACCAGTAAAAGTCCATCACCGATCGTGAAAGTCCATCACCGATCGTGAATATGCATCACCGATTGCAAAAGTCCATCACCGATTCGATGATCACATTAAATGCCTCTTTGGCGTTCCATACGAGAGGGAGTGCTTAACAAGTTGACATTTGACCATTAACATATCGACCTCCAAAATTGCCATAAAATGTGTGTGTACGTTCGTTGAGGTAGGGGATGCCGGGGGGGGGGGGGGGGGAGGGGGGGGTAGTGCAAGGCGCACAATTTATGGGTTTTAAAAGTAAGCTTGTCGTAACAACTTTTTAGTAGAAGATATTTATACCATCTACCTCCATGTAGGCCTATATACACAACAGCAGCAGCAGGTCATCAAAGAGTGGGGGGGGGGGGGGGGGGGGGGAAATGTGAAACTTTTCAGAAAAAAAGTGGTTCCATTTCTTGGCCACCGTTATGAGCATGTTATGTTACAACAACAAAAATGCAACGAACGGAATCCATCACCGAGCGGAAGGGGGCGGGGACGATTGGAACCCCCCCCCTCCTTTTTAGTAGAAGATATTTATACCATCTACCTCCATGTAGGCCTATATACACAACAGCAGCAGCAGGTCATCAAAGAGTGGGGGGGGGGAAATGTGAAACTTTTCAGAAAAAAAGTGGTTCCATTTCTTGGCCACCGTTATGAGCATGTTATTACAACAACAAAAAATGCAACGAGCGGAATCCATCACTGAGCGGAGGGGGGGGGGGACGATTGGAACCCCCCCCCCCCCCCCCCCATTAAGCGTAAGGAGCATAATGCAGGTTGTTTGTTTGTTCCAAGACTACATCTGGATTTTCATTCCCGGTAGGTCCCTGAGCGCAAGTAAAGCCACCGCATCGACAGAGGGCGCTATATCAACAAGATGGATTTGATCGTTGTGAGACTGAGAGATGCAGATATTATGTCTGTGGAGTTGATTCATCTTGTAGATAGCGACCACCGCGCAGTTAATTACGGAGACGTGACCGGCTGCAGGGAATAAAATCCAAATCCAGGACGATGTCATAATAAAAAAAAACACCGTTGTCGAATTGCATGTATTGGTGCTTCAATATGCTGTCGCGTTGGATCATGCAGTCCTCAGTCATGGCATCCCTCACAGCGGCTTAACTAGGGGTAAACTTGGGGGGGGGGGGCATAATGCGTAGAGAGCGGGGGCTAAGGGGGGTATTTACCCCACCCCCCCCCCCCCCCCCCCCCCCCCCCCAGTATTTTGTAAAGACTGCGATTTTCCATTCAAATGCCCTTTTTTGCCAGTACACTTCTTTTGTTAACAAGTGGCTTTTTTCTGAAGAAGCGCATGCCCGTTAAAAAACACAACGGTCTTGCTCTTTTTGTGCAAGCGGCCTGTACTGTACGAGTGCCTTTTTTTATTTGGCGCATGGAGTGTATCACCATGTTGTCCATTAGCAGGCATAATCGTCGGTTTTGAACACGCAGTGTTGCCAAACCTCTTTGTTGACAAACTTCAAATTCATTCAGTTAATTACTAGTACTAGTACCATAGATAATGCTTGCTGTTAAACCTTTGTGAACACTTTCAGTTTCAGTGTCAGGAATTGGTATTCAAAATTAAAAAAACCGTGGCGTCTGGAAATTGGGGCACAAAATCGGCCCGAGTGTTGACGGTGGCGCACGTACTTGAACAGATCTCGGAAAATCCCAAGTTAACAAAGGTGACTCCAAATTTTGATAAACCATTGTTATCTCCACTCGTACTCTACCCAACTAGAAGTTTGTCCGAAAATCATTTTTTTTGGGCGCATTTTTTAGGGTTCATTACACCATGGAGTGAAATAAAATCAGAAAATCACGCCAAAATAAATGTCTCTTTTAACTTTGTAACGGGTGGTAAACTCAATATTTATGAATGGGAGTGTTTTATTTTGCTGAAATTTCTCTCACTGTGATATTTGAGGAAAAACATTTGCTTTAGTCTAGCTAGCAAGGCCGCAAGAGGCGAAAAATCAAAGTGAGCCACATTTTACGGGCCGCACAACGTCAAGGACGTACGTACCGTAAATGTCGAATGGCGCCCTCAATTTTTAATTAGTCAGTTCCCTTGTGTGATATGTTTGTAAGTGTAATAAGGCTGCGTCACGTCTGGGCACTATGTGGAATATGGCGGCGCTCAATTTGTTGCAGAGTTCATGGAGTTAAACGAGCAGACGATAGGAAATTGTTTTTAACAGTTGAGCAGAATGAGTACTACTTACATCCTTGAACCACCGACTAATGGAAAGGTATTTTTGTGGGAAAGACGTCAATATTTAAAAACGACTGTATTGCGCATGGGCCATGGGCAATTGGGGGCCATGTAGCCCAGGTGGACTCCCTTTCCTCCTAGCCCGACTGCGTCTGGCCGTACAGTACTATCGCAAGCTCTGTAGTACGGCCAGACGCCCGATGCTTCCACAGAGACTGAATTTTGTTGGCCGCCGATGTAGCGATTTTGCTACATCTTTCGATCGCGATTATCTTTTCATCCAGGACACAAATTTCCAAAGTTAAGGTTCGTAGTCGTAGAGCAACTCATACCTTTTCGAAAAAAACGTTCTTTGGTCTCAATATTTTCATCCATATTGCCACAAGACGAATTTCAGTCATCAGATTCCACAAATATCGTCCCATGCGATCCCCCATGCGATTTCAAAATGGCGGCCGTGCTGTAATGTATGCAATATGCAGGCGCGCCCGCGCGAACTCGTGAATATGCATAAAGAGTCTGTGACGTATGACCTCGTGTTTTGGACGTGCGTGCGGCCCCGTGCAGAGCCATACGTCACGAGGTCATACGTCACAGACTGTTTATGCATATTCATGAGTTTGCGCGGGCGCGCCTGCATATTGCATACATTACAGCACGGCCGCCATTTTGAAATCGCATGGGGGATCGCATGGGGGACGATATTTGTGGAATCTGATGACTGAAATTCATCTTGTGGCCAGATGGATGAAAATATTGAGACCAAAGAACGTTTTTTCGAAAAGATATGAGTTGCTCTACGACTACGAACCTTAACTTTGGAAATTTGTGTCCTGGATGAAAAGATAATTACGATCGAAAGATGTAGCAAAATCGCTACATCGGCGGCCAACAAAATTCAGTCTGTGTGGAAGCATCGGGCGTCTGGCCGTACTACAGAGCTTGCGATAGTACTGTACGGCCAGACGCAGTCGGGCTACTTTCCTCCCTACATGCCCTACGTAACGGAGGGAGTCCAGGGTATAAAGTGCTCAAAACCGGGCGAAAAAATTTATGACCAGTATTTTCAATATTTTTCCTTGGTGGAGAAGCTAACTTTTACGTCGTAGTATTCTATGTAGCCTTATCTATTGGGCCGCTGGGTTCAGAAATTCCATATGCGATGCTGACCGACCTTAATCTGGAAAATAAACTCGAAAGCAACGTTAAACTTGTACGTGTTTGTAGACTCTTTTCATCAGTTTCTCACCGCCGAGTCTATTCTAGTCGTACGTCTGTGCAGCGTGTAGTCTGGTTCCCTAGACCTGACAATTATTCTCGACGCTCATATCACGTCTGGTCCGGGGGCCAGACTATGCAGCATGAATATGCAGTGCGCATGCGTGATTTGCTTAGTAAGCACCTACTCCTAGAACTATGAGGCTCCACGTAGTGGAGCCTCATAGGTTCAGAACCCCGCAAAATTGCTGTCAGCACAAAACACTAATTAAGTACAAATATGTCCATCCCAACCAAGCTTTTTCCCACAGAACCGCTGCACAGTTTGCCCCTAAACTCCGTACAATACCTCATGACATACTCACGTTATGTGCACCCAACAAACATCGGTGGATTCTGTCGGTTTTTCGGCAAAAATGATGAAAAATATGCCCTTTCTGCACTGAGCCAACCTGACACTTGAAACGTGCATGCGCGCAGAATGATCGCAGTCTTTTTCGGGTTTGATCGCTCGGAGCGCGCCGTGGGGGTGACGTACTTGCACTTGTATGCATGCGCATACTATCGTTCCGCTCCTACACCATACCCCCGCGGCGCGCTCCGAGCGTTCGAACCGAAAATGACTGCGATCATTCTGCGCGTGTGCACGTTTCAAGTATCAGGTTGGCTCAGTGCGGAAAGGGCATATTTTTCATCATTTTTGCCGAAAAAACTAAATAAAATTTAGGGCTGGGTAACTCCAGCTAAAACAAATGTAGCTACCATTTTTTTTCAAATTTTCTCTGTTTTTCTGTTAAAATAACAATTTTTGGGGAATTCTGCCAGAAATCTGCCAAAAAAATCCATTCTGTCAAATTTTCTGTAAAACTTGTTTTTTTTACAAAAAAATTCTGTCAAATTTAGCTGAAATTCAGCTAAAACGGTCACCCTGCATCCTTTGCTACTTGCTAGCGCTAGACTATGCATGCTATATATGGGCAATCGTGTAGTGTAGGGCCCCTGTATTGGTTTGATCAAATTAGAATCAAAAATGTTTTTTTATTGCTCAAAAATCACCTTTCAATCAAAAGCAGAAATTTCTCATGTCTAATGACACCCGTTTTACATTTTTAAACAGTTTTTTTGGGGGTAAAAATCATGATTTTCCTGCGCGGTTTGTGCCTTGCGATTCAGCGCGCCGTGCGTGCTCACGATACATAGTGCGGTGATCGCCATCTTTATTTTCTGGTTGTGTGTTGTCGTTGCGCTGTCATCGTAACCTTTACCCCAAATTTCCCTCAAAAACTCAAATAATGGTAATAATTTTTTGTCTTTTTTGTTCTTCATAATACTTTTAATACAAGTTTAATTTACTGTTGTTTGTTATCAAATCCTACTTTTTATTGAAGTAGATTTCATTTTTTCTTCTTCCTAATCCGAGGCTTGGTCTGATTTTTTTAAAGGGAAATAAAGTCTGAGAACCATTTGGGACCCCTTTCCTAAGAAAACACAATGCTTCATGTAACATTCGCCATTAATTTGTCATTGTCGTCCATTCACACATACAGGTGTTACTCAGGACAACATGCGGTGACATCGATATCGAGTTATGGTCCAAAGAAGCCCCCAAAGCCTGTCGTAATTTCGTCCAGCTTTGTCTGGAGGGGTACTACGATGGCACCATCTTCCACAGGATCATCAAGGACTTCATGGGCCAAGGGGGTGACCCAACAGGGACTGGTGAGGGCGGGGAGTCGGTGTATGGTCACCCCTTTAAGGTACATTAACTGGGTCCTGAAGTATAGTAATTGTGGGAGAAATCTAGTCCGAGTAACTAGGACTCTACGAATCGCCTTTTTTAACATTTGGACATGGTCGGGCGATAGTAGAGTCCGAGATCGATAACAGTATTGCGGTCACCTGACCAATCACAGGGCACTTTGATTGGTCACCAATCCAGGTGACCAATCAAAGTGCCCTGTGATTTGTCTGTCTGACGCTTGTCAGGAAACAGTCTAGCCAGAGCCATGCACAAGTCTATATTTCCTGAATTCAAAATGGCAGCCTCAAACAAGGCGTGTGTGACAAGGATGTTTCCCGAATTGAAGGTGAAACTTCTTTTTCCTTCCCAAAGGTATGTGAACCTAACCACCACCATTTGTATTTTCAATTCCCACTGAAGCCTACAAGGGCGCATAAGGCAGTTTGAAGACTGTTTTGGGGGTGAAATCTGAAGATTTTGATTGGGGGTACGAGTGAAAATGGTAAAAAAAAAATTAGTAGTAAACGCAATACTGCTATCGATCTCCGACTCTACTATCGCCCGACCATGTCCAAATGTTAAAAAAGGTGATTCGTAGAGTCCTAGTTACTCAGACTAGGAGAAATCAGAGATTTCAAGGTCCAGCAATCCTAAAAAAAATTTCAGCAATGCAGTAATCCCAAATTTGAACAATTATCCAATTTCACTGAAAGTTCCTTTCAGCACACAGTCATGACAAAAAGTGACAAGTGAGGTGCCGTGTCGAATGCCGTCCACGATGATTTGGTAAAGTGTGCGGCATTGAATGACCGCTGTGCCTTTAAGAAAACACTCTAGAGCTGTAATGTTGGAAATATGGGTGGAAACTCGGCGATCAGACGAATGGCCCGGCTGTTAACGAACCAAGACAACCACTAGCAAGTGAATGCGGTCACAGTCGCAGACCATGGAGCAAATTCGGGAATGTTCCAGTTGTTTCTTTAGCTTGTGTCACAAAAAAACAGAAGGCTCATTTTTTTGTAAGGCTGGTTTCAAATATCAAAATCTAAACTGAAGTGGAATTTAAGCAACACTTTTTTTTTTAATCCGGATTTTAATCCCACCACAGGTCTTGACATTTGTGTATCTGGCATTGAATGCAAACATTAGCCACACACCCAGTCTGAGGTGGGCAGTACTTCAGTCTGGCCTGGCCCTCTAGAGGCCGGGCTTTATTGATTGGTAGAAGCTCTATTGTTAGTAGCTGGAGTTACCCAGCCCTAAATTTGATCATTGGGTTGTCATTTAGGGCTGGAGGACACTTTTCACGTAAACCAGCAGCGTTGGCAGGTCCCAAAAAAGATTGCAACTGCAACTCACCGTAAACTTGCCTGGAATAACCATTACACAGGTCCTTAAAGTAAAAAACGATCCACGATGAAGATTCAGCCTACAGTTGCAGTGAAAAAAGGAGGAATAACCGCTAACCTGACAACCTTGCAGGCATGGCCAGGACTGCAATTGGTTTGTGCACAAAAAAAATTGTGTACAATGAATGGCGGTCGATTACCATGCACAGCGCGCTGGTACTAGTCGTTTTTGCCGGCTGCGCTGGCTGTTGGCGCATGACGTCACGCGGAAGCGTAACACCTGATGACTGTTTCATGCACTCGGTTGCCGTTCCAGTACCGCAGCTGTGATGCAAGTGGTAAACCTCATATTAGTGCATTAAACAGTTTTTTTTGGGACCTGCCAACGCTGCTGGTTTACGTGAAAAGTGTCCTCCAGCCCTAAATGACAACCCAATGATAAAATTTAGGGCTGGGTAACTCCAGCTATATTGTTAGGTAGTTCAGGGCTGACAAAAGGTAGTTCAGGCCTGAAGGCCCGGGCCGGGCCTGGCCTGGCTTTTCAACTTCCAAGCTGTCCCACCACTTCTGGCTACTTTTTAGTTTAAATGTGACCTGCGCTATTTTTTGTTTTGCAGGATGAATTTCACTCTCGGCTTAAGTTTTCCCGGCGTGGCCTGGTTGCCATGGCCAACGCTGGACCCAACGACAACGGAAGCCAGTTTTTCTTCACCTTCGACCGCTGTGAGCATCTCAACAACAAGCACACCATATTCGGCAAGGTAATCAGCTTTTTGCTCGCTTGTACTTGCCCTAAAATGGGGTAGGGAAAACAACTTGCGGTCAGTCCAATACCACAAAAGCTCTCTCTTTTTAAGGCCTCTCACACTATCTGAAATGTCCGAGTCCAACACGGCAGAGTTGTAACGAGTTACTGACTTTTGTGACTCGAGTCGAGTCGAGTCTTTTTAAAGAAGTGACTTGAGTCGAGTCGAGTCATTAGGTCAAGACGGTCAAGTTGAGTCGAGTCACAGTGTGTAGTCGAGTCGAGTCGAGTCGAGTCAAATATTTAGCTTGAGTCAATTCAAGTCACAAATATTTGAGCACTATACAATAAATAAACACATGAGAGAAAGTCATTTTTTTGCTATTTAAATTTTACATTCGGGCTAGTAGCCTAGTACATGTGGCGACACCACATTTGCCTCTTAATAAATAAAGGGGGTGCCAGCTGATCGTCATTCAACTAATGGGGACACTGATCAAACCACGTATATATATGTATACATTATTCACGAACATTCTAACGTGACGTGAACAAAAACTTTTTAAAAAAATATTTTTTTCGGAAAGTTTTGCTTTTATTTTTGGGACTCGAGTCTCATTAGCCTTTCTCGAGTCGAGTCGAGTCGAGTCATTCTGATGAGGGAGTCGAGTCGAGTCATTTGCTCGCAGTAACTCGAGTCGAGTCGAGTCATTTGCCCTTAGGGACTCGAGTCGAGTCGAGTCGAGTCACCAAAACTTGTGACTCGAGTCGGACTCGAGTCGAGTCATTGACTCCAGTCATTACAACTCTGCAACACGGAGATTTTGGGAACTGCTTTCACACTAGCAAGATTCCAACACGGCTTCTACACGGGTACAGCGCTCTACATGGGTAAAGTCCTACCCTGGTCAGGACCAGGGTTAATGAGAGGCTCTACCCAGGTAGAAAATCAAGAATCTGCACACCGATGTTTGAACGGTATGCCTTGCCTACCCATGCACGATTGCACCCAGGGCGATGGCACCTGATGCCGTGGGTTTTTCCCAAGAACATTCTTCGGGGCTTTTTCCTCCCACCTCTAAAACTGTAGTTTCTTTTCATTGTCTCCTCTCTACAGGTTTCTTTAGGCTTGCGAGCCACAGTGCCTAGGGCACTATCTTAGGAATCCTTGGTTTCATTACCAGAAATTATGATTAATAATAATAAGTGTGGTGTCATTATGTCTCATGTCTGTTGTAAAATTGATTTTGTTAATTGCCTAGGTTGTTGGCAACACAATGTATAACATGGTCAAGCTGGCGGAGGTAGAGGTAGATGATGATGACAGGCCGGTGTATCCACCCAAAATCAAGTCAACGGAGGTAAGTCCATCAGCTTCTTCCAGTTCAATCTTCGAATTACCATTCCAAATTTGTCTAAAGTCTCCTTTTATTGATTTTACTAAGTTCCATCCTCATACCATTTTATGTTTGTACACCATGACATTTCCAATATTTTTGATTGTGAAGTTGGGGGGGGGGGGGCGACTGCTTTGATCAAAATTGGTTGCAATTCAATTATTTATTAAGATTTCACTGTAATATGCACATAGACTTGGAATCAGGTTCGATATTTGTTCCAAGTTTCAAGTTTATCTGATGTTCTGTTAAGAAGAAAATTAGTAACTGATGCAAACATGTAAGTGTGTATTTGCCTGCATATCGGGGGGCCCCCTATTGTCCCTCTTTTGTTTGTACTCTAACTTTTTAGGAAGACCTCCCATATGTTTTGTACACAAATCCAAATTGGGGACCTCGGAAATTAGGGACCCTATTGTCTCTGTTGTTCAACGTCCCCTTTTGAATGCAGAAACAAACTCAGGTTTGTTTATGGTGTAAATCAAGGATTTTCTATTGTTCCTCTTCCCTTTTTCCTTTGTTTGTTCAACAGCTCTCTTGGTTTTGTACACGTTTTCTAATCGAGGTCGTCCTCGATTTGGTTCTTGTCCTCAACTCATCGATGATGTTGCACGTGTGTTTCATAGATTTACACCATAAACCTACTCGCACAGTGAAGCAGAGATGATTGTACACATTGCAAAGTGCCGTGCAACAGATTTTCCGTGAACCAGAATATTCAAATATGTACCCCTTGAAATCTGTTGTTTTGTTCAAATCATTCATTCTGAAGGTTTTAGCCAATCCCTTTGATGACATCGTCCCCCGGCAGCTGAAGAAGGAGAAAGACAAGGAAGGGAAGAAGAAAAGTAAATCCAAGGCCACAAAGTAAGTTGCAGAGTTTATTCCAATGTTGGATTTTGCCCTTCAGAGATGTAATTTTGTAAGCAATGTACATGTGCACTCAGTGTTGCAAACTTGGTCCAGTGGTAATGGTGTTAAACTCTTTTGGGGTAGTTTGTGGGTTCAAATCCCTATGGGGGGGGCGGGCACATGGTATTTGTGTCCTTGGGCAAGAAACTTTACCTCAATTGCCTCTGCACACAGGAGTCTAAGTGGGTGCCTGTGAGGTGGTAGATTGCACTGACCTTGATCTGCTGCAGAGTAGTGGTCTCATGGCCTGATGAACAGGGGTAACGATTTTGAAGCACTTTGAGGTATTGGTGTAAGGCCCCCAAAAAACTTCTGCTGCCAATTACATGGCATTTGAAAATAGGGTAGGTAGGTAAGGAATTTTTTTGGCAAATTTTTTGTGTGTGATCATATGGAGGTGTCTGCGTGTAGTAAAGGGTAAAAGATAGTAATTGATGGTTTTCAGGTTTTTTTCTCATTCCCCCCCCCCCCCCCAAAAAAAAATTAGGGTAGGGGCTGTCAAAATAGGGTAGGTAGGGTAACCAGAAGCAGAACTATTTTTTTTTGGCCTAAAGCACTTTATGGTTAGAGTAACTTTTATATCTTTTTGTGTTTTCAGGAATTTCAGCTTGTTGTCATTTGGTGAAGAGGCAGAAGAAGATGAGGAAGAAGTGAACGAAGCGAGCTTGAAGATGAAACAGAAACACAAGAGCAAGAGTGCTCATGATCTTGGCAACGATCCCAATCTTAGCTCAGTTGCTGCTGTCGACGTAGAGTAAGTACTGAAATTATTATTATTAATGAATACAAGGATTCCTCAAAAGTATCCTTGGCATATAGAATCATTTGCAGTTGTCGTAATTTCATGAAATGGACCGATTTATAAAGGGCTATTAATTTATGGCAGACATTGTTCCACTGAGCTGTTCAATGCTTTTTATCCTCAAGCAAACCTGAATCCTCCACCCTGATTGGTCGATCCATGGCAACAACAGTGTGATATGAGGCTGTATTGCACGGTCCATATCACACCCTGCGTATTGCGCTATTCCAAGAAGTGAGCGACATTCCAGCTGCATGCACTAAACTGCTGAAATGTTCGTGTAAAGTGTGCTCTTTCCAACTGTACTGCGTGTCGAGTTTGCTTGAAGATAAATTCGTTATCACGCTCGCGCTCGTGGAACACGGAAAATGTAGTGCGTCTGTGTCCCACATACTTGGGCCTCGTGGTATGTGGGACACAGATGCACTACATTATTCCGTGTTCTACTCGCGCTCGCGGGATAACTAATAGTGTCCATTGGTGCTGGAAAACACGGAAAAAATGCTGTTCATTTTAAACCGTCAAAGTAAAGCTTGCTGAATCTGTCATGGACTAAAAACAGACTAATAATATAATCCACTTTTCATGCCACTCAATAGCCTTGTTTCATTACCCCTTTACTGACAGGAAACCCAAGCATGCATTATCAGAAGACATCGTCGGAGATGAAGATGAAGAAGAAGAAGAAAAGAAGCGAATATACGATGAGGAGATGAAGGAGTCCATACGCAAGAAACTTAAAAGGACGCCAGATAAGCCGATTCAGAAAGTGGAAGAAGAAATGGACAGCAGGGAGTCAAGGAGGTGAGTCAGTATTATTTGGGTTGATGGAGAGGATTCACGTTAGACAGTTAGCGCACTAGATAGATCTTTCAGTTTGTGAGGCCTTGTGATGTCATATGTGACTTGCAATCTGCTATGCATGTACATGTAGCGGATGGTATCCTTTGCTAGGGGTGAAATACATGGAGAAAAGTCACAGAGAGTCAGGTTGGCGTAGCGGTACTTTCCTCGCCTTCCAATGCAGTGACCCAGGTTCGATTCCTGCCTGGGCCAATATATGGACTGGGTTTTCAGTCCCTGCTTGATGCTGTGGGTTTTACCCAGAATATTCTTCTGGGGTTTTCCTCCCACATCTAAAACTGTAATTTCTTCACATTGTCTTCTCTTTAATGGAACCCATGGGAGACCAGTGGATTCCTCTGAATGGGTTACCCAGTTAAAATAAGAAATAGAATAAATGGTAAAATGTCAATTTTTTCTTTTCTATTAGTTTGTGTAACCATCTATGCTTTGATTGAAAAGAGGATAAATTGCTGAACAAGTATGTGCCTAATTTCTGTGCAAATTTAGCTACAGATAGGGAGCAGCATTGGAGACTGCCAATTTGGATTATTTTTGTCATAGATAGCTAAGCGATTTTTTGTGTGTTAAGGCCAGTTTTATCTCTGCTTTAAGTCTAACGGTCCTTTTTATGTGATCCTTTTGTGTGTGTGTGTGTGAATACACAGGAGCGAGCTGCGCAAGGAATCGGAGCAACTGAAGAGAGAGCTGAGGGAATCGAGGAGGAAAGAGAATGATACCAGGAGTAGAGATGAAGACAAGAGGAAACAAGAACAGAGTGATGAAGAAGAAGACGATATTACGCCCAAAGGTTAGAAAATGACCCCATGCACAGGGTTCTCCCCGGGATTTTTCAAACCTGTGGGGGGATTTTGTTGTGATTCACCAACCTGCGAAGCCATGACATGGGGTTCGGGCCTGCTTAAGGGCCCCGAAAAATTTTGAACTTTAAAGGCTCTCTGGTGCATTGCTCACTCCCCCCCCCCACTCTGTACCAAAAGAGTCAGGGGGACTTGAATACATTGCTGCTGCATGTCTGTAGCTCACAAGCAGACTATACTGGTTAACCCTTACTCCCTAGCATGATTTACTAGGAACCATACCCATCCTGGCAAATCTCAACACCATATGGGAAACTGCACACACATATTTCTGACTTTGATTTTGGAGGTGTGCCAACCAAATGTAAAAGTCTGTCAGTTTTGGGGTACTGTACCCATCCTGACAGATTCCAACAAAACATGCCGTTGGGGTTTGATGGGTTGTGTTCTGTTAGGGTTAAGAATGTGACTTTGCATATAATTTTTGTAAAACGCTTAGCAAATATTTTAAGAACCGTTTAAACGTTTAGCCATTTCACAAAGGCCGACGCCTGGCCATTATGTCTGCAGATCGGCATGATTGACGTAATAAATCGGTTGACATAATAAATAGTGGGCATACATTGGAAAAGTAAAAACTTATCTACTGTACCTCGAATGTAATCAAGCACAGCGGTGCTTCTAAGATTTTGCAAATTAAATAGGTTTGAAAATGTCGTTAATTATTTGTGCCATGTATAGCGAAGAGTACACTTGACTAATTTAAGTGTGGACAAAGCCATAGCGTCTTCACATGAGCGTCAAGCGTTGTCAGCAATTTGTTTGATTGCCTCTCCCAGTGGTCTCCCCCAACTCTGTCTTACCGTTGAGGGGGTACTTGTGCACGGAGCCCGTCAGCATCAGTGTGTAGCCTAAAAACATTGTCCGGTCCTATCCCACCATTTATTCTAGACAAAATAAATATAAAGATCCCTTGCATTCCAGCATCTTCGAAATGGATACTCATTAGTTCACCTCTTGGGCCTTCGTTGTAAGTGACAGACAGAATCGGTATATAATTTATGAGGCGAGAAGAGTGAGAAAAAAATCCTGAGTTTGCTCTCCGAAGGAAATCTCATTCATCAAAGATACATTACTTCTTTTTATTTTGCGTGTGCCATAGCTGTAATATGGCCCTTTCATTGCCTAAGGGTTCACATGACTACATACTTCACTTCTCACACATTTTGTTCTAATTGACCTGTTGAAAAACGTTTTAACTATGGCATTGTGACAAGGAAAAGACCGTTAATTATCACCCGTGTTTTTTGACGAGCTATTCCTTCATCATGTCAGCAACACACTCATGTTTCATGACCTACATACATGGAGGGTTCTCATGAGATTTATGGTGTTACACCTTTTCGAGTCACTATTGATTTGACATCGTGCATATTGACTCATTTTGCATTGAATGTGTGTGTGTTCCTGCATGGCATTACGCCTGAGGACAGACAACAAAAGGAGCACAAAGGGGCCATTGATCCTCGAAGGAAGGTGCCTATTGTCCTCGAACGCAGGTTTGTGTGCTTAGTCTATGGGAGAGTGTTATATTCAAGGGACAAAGGAAAACACAAAGCCAATCCTCGGAAGCATAGCAAAAAACGACTGTGTGTGTGTGTGTGTACGTGTACACACATTCAAATCGTGGACCTTGAACAATAGAGGACAATAGGGTCCACGATTGACCAAAGGCCCACTTTTGAGGTGTGTGTACAAAACATATTGGAGGTCTTCCTAAAAAAATTGAGTGTAAACAAAAGAGGGACATAGGGGTCCATGATTGAAGGTGTTTACAAAGATGTGGGTTTGTTTTTGGTGCAAATCTATGACACACATATAAAACATCAATGTTTAATCGAGGACAGGAGTCAAATCGAGGACGTCCTTGATTAGAAAACATGTACAAAACGAACGAGAGCTTTTGCAAAAAATGTTATTAACAAAAGATTGATAATGAGGAAAGGTGGGAAATCCTCGATTTACACCCTTAATAATCATGGTGGTGTGCCAACCTTGCCATCTTTGTGTGGACCTGAAAACCAAACAGGTCCGCGTGATCTGATACACCGTGCCCTCTGGAGACATGCACACAATAGGGAACAAAAGATTGTATACGTCTACACAGGGCAATTTCTCAGAATAAACTAATATGTCTCCACAAGGTTTTCACGAAATAGACATATGGATTTTACTCAAAAGCTAGGAATTTCCAAGGTGTGTTGATTCGTCGCAAATGGAAGAGTTTTAGAAAAGGGATATTTAGTCCGAATTTCAGCCAAGGAAATTGATTCTGGTTAAACTAAGAGCATTTTTAAACTGTACTTTCAAACTCCAAAACTTTAGTTCACGAGAACAAAGAAATGTCTCCACAAGGATACAAAGTTCAGTATGGGTGATGCAGGTTGTGTGAACCTCCGGTGTACCCAGATCACACTTGAAATAATTGGCACTTTTTTATGAGGGGGGGGATCACTACCTAATGCTTAACAAAAAACATTTAATTTAAGGAAAAAGGATTTAATGACCCAATGTGGATACAGAATACCCAAGAGTTGCCTATAACTTGGCTATTACTAGATGTTTACTGTTTCCCTCACCTTTTACTGGAGAGAGTCGATTCTGAATCCCAGTGTAGCTGACTGGTAGATCTGGTAGAAACATAACTTCTATTTCTTTTCTATCTACAGAACGTTTCTTAAGGTGTTAACTTCTCTTTTTCACTTCCCTGTTTTGTAATCGAGTCCACCACAACTCCACCATAACAGTCCTTTCATTAGTAAATCGCAAGTCCAACCACAAGTAACAGGGGTGTACAGTAGCAAAGGAATCCCTTTGTTATTCATAACTTGTCACTTCAATTGAGACTGGAGGACTTGTGATGGACTATGATGGACTTGTGAGGACTTGTGAGGACTTGTGAGGGGCTTGTGAAGACTTGTGATGGACTTGTGACTGGACTTGTGACCGGACTTTTGAGTACTTGTGATGGACTTGTGAGGACTTGTGAGGACTTGTGACTGGACTTGTGAGGACTTGTGATTGACTCGACTACAACACTGTCTCTTCCTGCTTCTCACCAGAAAACGTTGATACTTAGACTCAGAATTTGAAAACTTTTTGATTTCACAAAACAAAATTATATTATTATACTTCATTTCCAGACCTATCACTGGTTTGTCATCCACTTTTCAGAAGCAGCTAGTGCAAGTCCACCAACCAACGACATGATATCCGAGTTTCGTCAACAGAAGAAGAGATTCAGAAGGATGAAGAAGGACCAGGCAATGGGTGGCAATAGAGAAGATCAGGTAAGATCGTTGGAAAAGGGGTGTCTAGGGGTGGAGGTGAACCTTGCACTATTAATTCGACACAATTTGTGTTCATTGACAAAATGATCAGGTGTCAAATTCAGGTATCAAGGCAAGTGGGTGTGAATCTTTTACCATTAATTGGAGAGATAGATGATCAAGTCAGTTTGTCAATAAGAGTTGCACAGCAAAACTTTGATGTGAACCTTGCACCATTAACCTAACTCCCTAGGCATTTTTGCTAGGATGCAACTTCAATCCTGCAAGATCCTCCAACTGCCTCCATGTCAAAATTGCATACAGCCTCAATCCTCCAAAATGCCCCGTTATTTCTTGAATGTGTTCCTTGGAGGGGTGACCACTGCCTCAATCCTGGCAGAGCCAGTGACATCCTGGAGCAGTACCAAGGATTTCAAGTATAATCTAGGCCTCAATTTATGCACGGTTGAGCATAAACAACACAAGGTCCGGCCCAAGACCTTGAAAGTAGTGCATCCCCCAAAATCAGCCGCACATTTTTGCCATATATATAGCCTCAATCCTGCAAAAATCCTCCATTTTACAAAAAGGATTTTGGAGTATTTGGGAAGGTTAGGGTTCATTGAAGAACGTGATCAGGATAGCGTTAAGGCAAAAATGGATGTGAACCTTTAACCATTAATCAGAAAAAAAAGATGATCAGGTTAGTATTGCAAAGGCAGGGACCATGGCCAAAGGTGGATTTGAACCTTGCACCAATAGTTAACAGAAAAGCTTGGGTTAATTTACCCATGGAGGGTTTTTCGACAAGGTTAGATGTGAACCACAGTTCCACTAACTACAGTACTTTTTAAAAATCTACACAGAAAATAAACTGGGGAACGGCTAACAAAGGGCTGGATAGCTCAGTTGGAAGAGCACCAGAACGGCAATGTGGAGGTCGCAGGTTCAAACCCCGCACCAGTCAAATTTTCTTTTACAACTTTAAAATTAGGAAACAAAGTGGTGAATGTTGCTTCAATCATTCACTCTAATTCTAAACTAGAAATGTAAGCAATGAAACAAGATTTACCGATTACTTTTTGTCCTCATATAATGAGGACCAGTTCTCCTTAGGTTTCAAATTATGTTGATAAATGACTAGGAAGGACATTCCAGTTTCGAAATGAGAGGAAAAATGCTGAGAGGGATTCTTGGTCTAATTACCCCCATCACATTCATTCCGGCCCACTACACTCCTACTGAAATTTGAAACATACACCTGTCGTTGACAGATTGCCAACGTCAGGGAATTTTAAAAAATGGAAATGGTGGAAGCTGAAAGCACGGATCCTACACAGAAGGATCAACGACTTGGCCAAACTCCTGGTTAGACGCGTGATAACGGCCCGTACTGGTGGCAAATACCATGAATACTTGTCAACAAAGACCCCTGGGCGTGATTGCTTTCAGATTTGGTGTCGAAGTCTGTCAAGCCAGTTAATTGTATTTTTGAATATTCATCAGTCTACTTTTTTGGTCTTTATTATTGAATTCTGATAAGTGATAACTGCATAATCATGTTAATACCAAGCACAATATCTTAAGCTTTAGTTTAAAATGACCAATGAAATGTCGCTTTTGTTTCATCGGTTCGGGATCACATCTGTCTAAAACTTTTTAATGAAAGCCTAATTAAAAACGGAATCTGGGTAAATACTTCATATATGACGACAAAAAGTGCACAATACCATCTGTTATATCCTGAAGTATTTATTTTTCAACAATTTTGGAAGAATTATGTCCTAGGAGTAGTTTTGCGTACAGTTTTATGAATATTTTTGTTTTAGATGTCATGCAAAAACCCGACACAGTGGCACACCTGGAAAATTCGCGATTGCAAGCCAACGGGTATTAATGGATGTTATCACGCGTCTAACTAAATTAAGGGAAGTTCGCTCAGTGCATTTTGTACTGGAGCTGAGAAGAGTCATTTATCCTTCTGTGTAGGATCCGTGGTTATAGGGATGTAATAAGAAGAGCCTAATTATGCATTTGATGTACGCCAGGTTGCCAGAGGATACGCTAATTACAGTGAAGGGTTACAGGAGGATAATTAAGGGGCATTGACATATCAATTACATACTTCCAGTTTCAGGTACAAGCTTCTGCAAACTTTTGCTGGAGTCAGCCAATTTTTTGCGCAGTGAAGATGTTAAGGTTTGCATTGTGACATCGGCAATATGAGTGTGTTTGCAGTTGCACAAGAAATCTCTTTTGTGAGTTCGTATGTCTCCTGACGACGGGCAGAGCATGCTGCCCGAAACATTGAGATTTCCATCGGCTCTTTTCAGAACCACACAAACTCACTAAAGAGATTTCACGTTACATGATGCAGCCACAAACGTACTGCTCTCCAAATTTTTTATGTCCGTTTGAAATTGCTATATAGAGATGGAAAGGTAGCTCATGCATTGATCAGTACACTTTGTAATTTGCAGATTACTATTTTTGCCAAAATAAAGGTCAACAATGATGCATGCAAAGTTTTAAGGTTTTTAGTACAATACGTTCCAAGCAATTTTTTTATGGACTCAAATCATTGTATCTCAAGTTGAACTCATTCATTTCCAGCTTTACAAGCCATTGAGGCAAGCTATGATCATGGCTAATGACTTGCCATGTCCGAATTTAATTGGCTAACTGCCTGACAGTAACACACCTGTCTAATGGAAGTGGCTTCATCAGCTTCCATTGGTGCATTTATAATCGCGAGCCGTAGCCGAGTTAGTTAGACGCGGCCTATTATCACCGTGAATGTGAAGAAAGACAGGTGGAGAACCGACAAATTGAAGCGATCTTGGGTTTGTGTCTCGGCTCCAGCAAGTCTGCCCGTCAAAATAGAATGGGGAGCCCGGGGAGCTTGAAGTCTTCAGACCGTAGTCAGGAAGCATGTGAGAGCACGGGTCTTGGAAGCGTAGCACCGTAATTAACGAGATAACGGACTCTCGGTTCTTACCAGCTGCGGTGAAATACGCCGGGGGGAGTAAACCGGCTATTTCCTATGTTTGTGCTGTGATGTCATGGGCCAGTAGTCTCACAGGAATGGTCGCTGAAGGATGGGGACATGGTTTGTAGCAATTGTGTCTTCGTCAACAACATCAGCTGCTCTACGTTTTTGTTCACAGATCTTAGCTTTCTTGGCAGGCCTCGGCTGTTGAGTTTCTTCGGCGGGAATATTTTCTTGCCGGCATTGATGGTTGGAATGTAGCTTGGATCAGTCATTGGTATTCATGTGTTAAAGCCAGAGTCCATCATTTGCAGCTATCCAAAAAGTAACTGGCGTAATTATTTTGAAAAACATACTTGGTTGAAAGATAGTAAGGGGACTAAAACCCCCTGTGAAATTTTTCTTTCTGGCAAGCTGTCATTTTGAAGAAATCAATGAAAGAAGGCCTTTCCAATGGTGCTTCTTAGAAGCATCGTAGGAAATTCAAATTAGTAGTTCGTTTTGTAATTCCCCGAAGTGCGCACAAGCATTGGCACGATGCACACGCGTACGTGGTTGCTATAATTCGTCGGATCAGTGCGCGACATCGCGTAGGTGCAATCGGCTAGTGAGAACGTGTCTTGGACGCTGGATTCAGGTCCAATTCAAAACTTGATTCAGCAACTTTTGATTTGAAAATCAAGATCCTAGAGTGTTTTTCTCGAAAAATGGAACCTAAGCTAAACTAAGGAGGGTATTGTACAGTTTACTGGTTACAGTCAAGCAAGGACACCGGAGCCATGTAGTATGCCTAAACTGATCATTGTGACCACAAATGTAAATTTTAAACTGAATATAGTTTTAAACCTTAGTTTGGATCATCTGGATATAATATGGTAGTTAACTGTTGTGTCAATTCAGTGGTGTACACTTTGTATCTTACAAAGAAACAGTTACGCTACCAATCATAACATTCCTTAACTGCACTATAACTCATGATGTTTGATTTCTTCTATAACTAACGATGATGATAACCGAGTTAGGAAAGGGAGGTTATTGACATTTTATCCGTCCAACCTTAAGACAGTCTTGAAACTCCTACTACGTCTGTGAGGAAACTCCCATACTCTACTCCTTCCCACCCCTTAAATGCACCTAAAGGCACGGAAGCCAGATCAAGAGTGTTTAAGGAAAGCTACCTTCGGGCAATTTTGCACATATTTTCCAGGGAGAAATCCCTCCTTTTTCCATGAGGACTGCTTTGGCACTGGAGCCTCTCGTTGCATGACGGCACGGCGCTGCCGGGGAAATGAACCCTAATTGCGTCAAATTCACACACGAGAGCCCATAATTAATGACACTTTCCTTGTAGTGACAGATGGAATTAGGCTGAGAACCGCCGCCTGCAGGGCACCGGTTTTACTCAAACCATAGCACCAATTGTGATGATTAATTGATAGGTGGTGTTCTGTACACAATTCATATGCTCTGGTGTTGTAAACAAACTGAACATTACACAATGTACTTGATTTGTTGTAAAATACAGAGCAAGTAACTGCCATGGTACAAATACATCTGATAAATGACAACAAATCATGATTTTGCACTTTTTGTTGTTGATTAAAGCCCTCTTATGCAAACATGCATTTGTGCAAAGTTGTCCTTTCAGGCAAAATCAAGCAAGCGACTGTTAAACGTAGAGTACATCATTTGTAATTTGTGCATTATCTTCGTTTGAAGCAATAACAACGCTCAAAATCTAAAGACAGGTGCTTAACAACTAACCTAATTAAATTTCAACTGTGTGAATGCTGTAAATTTCGAGGAAACAATATTCTAGGATCTCGATATCAATTCAAAAGTTGCTGAGTCATGTTTTGAATTGTGCCCTGAGTCATGTTTTGAATTGCGCCCAAAATCAGCATCCGGGACACGTTCTCATTCAGCCGATTGCATATATATGCAATGTCACGCAACGATCCGATGAATTATAGCAACTGCGCGCACGTGTGCGTTGTGTCAATGCTTGCACGCACCCATTCACAGCTTCGCT